TATTTAGTTAACTGTTGCTGTCATTGTTATGAGTGGATTTCCAATTGAATACTGCATTTTAATGACATAAATTTACAATATTAGTGACAATTCTAGGAAAAAATAGCGGCCATTTTGAAACAGCTGGCAACCCCCCTTACGTATGAAAAAAAAATGTTGCACATACTTTTTTGATTTATCTATGTCTACTCTACATCATATCCAATTTTTTAAAAATATAGCAAAAAAAAAATGCAACCAACCAAAGTTTGCTGGACTAAAAGTTGCTTGCTTACTTACTTACTGACAGGCCCTTTTTTCAACTTACATCAAAAGAATCTATGAATAATAATGTTGCTTTCTAGCAAGTGTACAGGAATCTTTTCTATCGGTGAATGCTCAACAAAGCGATTTGAAGACAACAGAACTCTCTGAAAATCTAGAAAAATGGCCCCGGTAATTGTAGTTGCTTACGAAAAATACAAAAAGACAATGCCTCTTTTAAGCTTTTGAAATTCAAATAAAAACAACAAGTTGCCTAAATAACTAAACTATAACATATCAAATGTACATAATAATCTGACAAAAGATAGCGGAGAACAGACGATGTAAACACAAAAATTAGCCATTTAACCCGAAAATACCAGCACGCGGACAGTGTGCCTCCCGCTGTGCGAGGAGCTTGGTTGATCATAAGATCCATATAAGCCCTAATGTGGCTATTAATACAAAAACAGTCAAAAGAACAAACATAGAGGATCGTAAATAACAAGAGTCTACAAAATAGTAAACTTCAAAGAAAACAAATTGATATCTAAAGATTCTTCGTTTTCAATAATTTGTTCCATAATAATAATTTTTTTAATGTACCTGTATTATTATTGGTGTCATAGGCTTTAATTTAACATAATAGATTATTTTTACTCTCATTTACAAATAGGCCCTTGTCTGAGATAGTCTAACTTAGTAATATTTGAATTAGTACTTCATTCAGTACCGGTAGCGTTTAATCAAATTATTAAAACCAATAATTTTGAAAAGTATTTTTCAGATAAAATGTGTATCAACGGATCTTTCCGCTAATCTTCGTCACTCGGGTGTTTGAAGTGTGGTGCCTTAAACAGTGTAAACGTATATACATTTGATGTTTGAGAGAAATACGCGCATTTTTGAAAATTTATCATAATCTATAGAACTGGTTAATTTTAATATTGATTGACACTCAATTAAAGCATAAAACCGGAATTGAAACACAGCACATCTTGAAGGTTTATAAGCGTCGTAACTTAATGAAATTGATAATTTGAGAATTTAAATAATGGTTAATAGTCATAAATTAACTTAACAAATGTTCCGTATTGCAGGCTAACGTTTATCCGACTCGAAAACAGAGTCTTATCGAAGACGCTCATCGAGACTCGGTCGTCAGTAACGGCTCCGTCGATCTCACTTCTTACCCTTCCTGCGAGAGTGATGACGTATTTCCAGAAGAATATGAGAGTGAAAAGGGTATTGACGTTGAGAAAAAAAAGCAATGTATCACCTTCTCGGCCAAGGATGACATGGGCTTTGCATCTCTCACGCAAGCACTGAAAATATTCGAGGTAAGATAATTTGTTTCATCTCATGAAATTATTATTTTGATTGTTATTATAATTAATATTTTATTACATTCTTATTATAAAAAAAAAAGAAAATTCACTCAAGTAATTGAGTAAAGCTGAGCCCCGAATCACCTTTCTCCTCAGCTAAGCACTCCATCATTTTATGCTCCAACACTCCTCACCCCTCCCCGACATCAGCTTCATTATCAACGTCAAACTACACCACTATTCGGACTCACAGATGTAAATCCACGCGCTAGGTTAACTAGAACTGTATGTGGTATCTATAGAACAGAAAACCAAAACATACTGTAGCTAAAATAAAACATATAGAAAGGACAAAATTAAATACTGTGGACTAATTTGATTTTTTTTCAATTGAAATTGCACTAAATGGCCCCAAAAACATAAATAGACTTTCTACAGTATTTAACAAGCAAATATGCTACATTTTTTATAATAACATGTTCATATATTCGAGTAAGGGAGCGAGAGCACGTATCACATAGAATAATGCAAGCGCAGACTTCAATTTAGGTGCACACTAAAATTTTCCGGATATTAGAATTCACGAGTAGAAGACAATTCGAGCAATATTGATTGGAGGTGGGAAAGAAATTACACATGGAGGTTAATGGACATTTCCGTCGACTTCCATAACCTGTATTTGGCGTTCTTGCTCGATATATTCGACACTTAACTACAAAAACGCAGATTAGCGTCCGTGAAATTCACGATGATATTTTAGAAACCCCTCCCAGCACACACCGAAATCTGTATTGTGGTCACACTCCAAAGAGGTTTAAATAAATTTCCTAATTTATATTCAGCCTGATCTGAGGAAAAATATTCTTAATTTTATTGGACTTAATTATTGGATAAAGTATGATCGACTAACCATTAAAAGGTACAACTCATTATTAATAAAGTAGCCTTAGCTTATAAAATGTTTTGACACAAACACTTTAGTTAGATAGGCCTATTAATCTCCCATGGGGGTACTCTACTTTATAATATCAAATGACAAGTATATTAGTGACGTGGAAAGCACGTGAGAAAATGTAGTGACGTAGTGACGTAAAGCAGCTCTGGTCAAGTTTAACGGACCTTTCCGCTAAGCCCGCCCCTTGGATACTGTTGCTAAGGTTCCACAAAACGAGCGTGTTAAAACCACTGATCTCTACACTCAGACTAGAGCGGAGATCAGTGGTTAAAACATACGCAAAAACATGTGCGACGTTTGTAGGACAATACTTGTTACGGGCACGCGCGTATTCATGGCTCTGTTCTGATTGGTCACTTAAGTTGATTGGCACTCCGGAAAGTTGCATTACAATAAAGTATATTGTATTCCTTATTAAGCTATGCTTATGTAAAATCAATATTTACGTTGTTTAGGTTTATGTTAAGACTCCATGCTGATACGTACACTCTTGTAGTTGTTTAGTTCAGTGCCACAGATGGCACTTGATTGATGTTTCTGTAGAGCTCTGTCCCCAATATAGCACATCAAATTTTCGATTACAATACCGTACAATTTGCTCAAATATTGGCATGATGGTCACGTCACACCCATATGTTGACGTATCAAAGCGTTTGTCACGTAAAATTTTATAGTTTTTTAGGTCGCCTACTACAAGGTATTTAATAGAAACTAAAATTCACACAAAGAAAATGATTATATTATTTTAATAGCTCTAATAGAACCTGGGCCTAATGTTTAAAGGACTTATAAATAGCCTAGCTGGAATATGACGTTTTAAGATCATCATTACATAATAAAAACAAATGCCAAATTTGGAATCTGAAAAATGTCTGCTTCATTATTAGTAATTTATTGATTTGTATGTCCTTATCTGTGTTCTGATATCATTCTTGCCTGCATCCATGTTGCGTAATCTGATCCACACCAGTACACACTGGGAAAACCTATGAGCAAGCAAATAAGTAGTATTTGTGTACAGGGTGTTTTTGGTATGATCTGTCCTAGTACAGCTACGATATAAACGTAACCGTTAGCGGTATGCGGATACTGCTAACGGTTAGCGCTAACCGATTGGGCGTTCTCACACAGGTGCTAACGGATAGCGCTAACGGCTAGCTCCTGATCCGAATACTAGGGCTCTCGTTAGCAGTAACATTCAGGATGTTTTCATTTGAGAACAGTCAAAGAAGGATTAACAACACTATGTGATACATGGCAGGCAGACAATTTACCGAAATAACATCTGCAAATTGCAACAGCCAATAACAAAATGTATCATAGAGAATGCTTACATTATTATAGGCCTATTACCAATCTCCCACCTCCCCCTCCTCCCCGGGACCCAAGAAAGTAATATTAATAGTTATATTAATAATAATAAGAATAGGGGTAATAATAATCATTTATTATACCATTATACAACAATATAAATAATATTAATAATAATTCAGGGTGCTAGATGTGTATAAGAGACAGCCCCCACTCTCCCCATCCCCCCTCTCTCTCTCTTTCTCTCTCTATTTCCTTAACGCCAAGTCCTCACTGCAGGAAATAAATATTTAGGCCTATTATTATAATTCAGCCAAATGAAGTTACACTATTATTTGGTCCACGCTCAACGTTAGGAAAATGTCGTGATAATAATTGAGCACTCGCCAGCATGCAATGAACCATGTCTCTTTGAAAGGAACAATTAATTGTTACAGAAATAATCACGACATGAATGAATGAATGAAGTGCTGTGTTGAGTGGGCTCCCAATTTGCCGCCTATAGGCTTACGCCTTCTTCACTATTTTTTTACTTCGAAAAAATTAAGAAACTTAGATGTTTGTGGTCTGTAGATTATGCTTACATACAAAGGCAACGTAATAAGGCAGGGCTGTATGAGTTTCAGCACACCTCCTTTGGGACACCCCTATTCAGTGGACACTCCTAATAATAATAATAATAATAATAATAATAATAATAATATTTTATTATTATTGCAAAAAGAATTTTGAACCAAGTAAAATAATCCGTCTTTGTTTGGTAGTAGTTTGGTGTGTTTAAGTATTTTCACGGTTTGTTGTTTTGCTTGTATCTGTTTAAGTGGTGTTCCTCTTATTGATTTGATTGAATTTTGTATTTTGAGAATTTTTGTCCAGTTTTTTAATTTTTTTAATTTTAATTATTCTGGTAGGCCTATATGTATTATATGTATAAATAATTTATACTTTTTAATGAAATAGTTCTATTATTGTAGGCTTACTGCTTTACTTCTCTGTTCCGGAGGTTTTCTGAATAAATTGAAATTGACAATTGAATTTTGAAATTTGAGCAATAAACCAGAATTTTCTCCCTAAATCCTTAGAGTGAATATCGGTAAGGCATACTGCATGTGTTACTTCGTATAAAAGAATCTTGTCAATTTTTGACCCTTAACCATTGGGATTTCTTTGTTTTTCGTTTTTCGTGCATTTTATAGGATTCTAATTCATTCAGTAACATTGCATTATTAAAACAATATTGGGAACATATAAAACTATTGTTTTTTTAATTACATTTCTGATGATTTCATAAATGAATTGTATTTGAATTGTCATCAATGAATGATCATCATTTGAGCGGTACGTGTGGCTGATTAAACTAGACTAGAATAAGCACTGACAGACTCATTGAAAATCAATCGCACTCTTTTATTGTTACATTGCATTATTAAAACAATATTGGGAACATATAAAACTATTGTTTTCTTAATTACATTTCTGATGATTTCATAAATGAATTGTATTTGCCTTGAAAATTATTGCTATGAATTAGTTATAAATTCTACTGTAACTAATTATGTCAATAAAAATATAATTATGAACAATTGTATGTCATTGTTATATGAAAACATGCCAAAAACCCCTATTAAAGGGACGATTTCACTTTTTTGGTAAGTGTCCCCCAAATAAGGGTACCCCTATTCGGGGACACTTTTTTTAGTCCCGAAGGTGTCCCCTTAAAACGTATTACTAACAGTTTAATTTATCTATATGCATTGTTCTGTCTATATTTCACAAGTCCTTTAAGAACAAATAAGTAGCCTATCTTAATAAGTTAACTAGATACTAATCAATATCGTAATCAGAATATACTGTTTTTCTGAACTGGTGTTCTGTCATGACTAAATTATGGAAAATTGCAAGGCAATAAAAAAAATATATGGGGCCATCTGTCTGTATTTCTGATTAAAGAAAGTCTTCCGATATTTGGGTCTGAACTCTTGTTCTTCTTCGGTTATGAATAACATGAAAAAAACAAGGTAATTTTTCTTTATAGTGACAATAAAACATGTTAACATTACTCATATTTTTGCTTATCAACCAACGTTTCTTTGTTATTGATGTTCAAGGTAGAAAACAAATGTAAATAGTTACACTCTTAGTCTGGAGAATCAGTGCTGATTCTCAATTGATTAAAATCCTTAATTTTTTTTCTATGTAAATGTGAAATGATATTCTCAATTACAGAAATAGAGAATTGTCATCAATGAATGATCATCATTTGAGCGGTACGTGTGGCTGATTAAACTAGACTAGAATAAGCACTGACAGACTCACCGAAAATCAATCGCACTCTTTTATTGTACCCGTGCTTCTTAGCTTATACATTGAACTTAAGAATAAATTTAAAAAAAAAATATGAATTGTGTTTACCTAATATTTTCTAAAAAGATACATGTGATATTGTATATTTTTACTAGGTTGTTAATATCTACATTATCATAATTACATTTTTAGAACACCAGACGCATGCAATCACGGCTTACTTATGCATGTCAAACACAGGATGATGATGAGCAAAAATCAAGGACTATATGCACCAACACCCATGCCCGTAGGCCTACATGAGCACAATGCATACATTTCATCAACGTATACCGTAGTACGTACATACATACATATGCACATTATATTATTACAAAATTATAATAAAACAATTTACTATGTCCTCCTCCTCCTATCCTACTGTCATGGTTGTGTTACTTAAGCTACATTCACAACATCCGAATCGAAATTCGTACCGCGTGTCCAGTGCGCTGAACGCCAGCGTTCCTTACACACTGATTCGATTTTCTGATCAGTTCGGTAAGTCTTCCGATCCAAAAATTCGGATTCGGTGTAAACGCAGGTTTAAATCGGTATTGACTCTCAATTATACATAGGCCTAGGCCTATTATTCATAATAATATGATACACAATCAGTACATAAAGGATGAGCATTATTAATCTTCATAAGCGTTCACTTATGGACGCTGGTACTGTAATCATAATCTCATTGTGTATTAACGCGAATGTGGTGGAATGGTTTTTTGTGTGATGCTATCGTTCGCCGTCGTAAAAACGTGCGTTAAAACCCCAATCCGTAATCGGACGCCGCTATGCATAATGACAGGATGCACTATGGGGTTAATTTCTCTACGATTTTTCATCTACACGCTAGCAATTTCAATCTAAGTTTGTTGAAAGCTTAAAAATAGAATATTCAAGCTGATTTAGTACCGATATATCACTGAATAGAGGTAGAAGTCACGTACAATGCATATATAAAATACTACATACCGTACCGGTGCGGTACTTGACTTTTGATAATAATTCCTAATTATTTCAGATTTAGCTTTCAACAAGACTCTTCAAAATGATTTACTATAATAACTATTTTCATGCTCTTCAGATTTTCAGTACGGTACCTTTTCAACATTCTCAACCAACAAATAATTTATTAAAACTGTAATCGTAATTAATATGAAATTCGTCAAAAGCAAGCCTTGCAATTATCTTTTATATTAGAGATATTAGTTAATAAATACATGATTAAACATTATGAGGATAGTATTGTCTTAAAAAGTACAATATTTTGTTTATTATTATAGATATTTGAATAGGCCTACTATATTTTGCGCCTAGATTATTTTTTTTAAAAATTAACATTCTTACGTCTGGTCTATTATGGTAAGAAGAATTCACGTGTTGAAAAAATAATTGTTTAAATTGTGTTGTTAAGATAGTTACGTTGTCCTCACAATTGGGCACCTTCATTTGGGCCCCCTACCTGCAATAGATGAGGTCGTAGATATGTTCGGGTCCCCCGTCATCCCTACTTAGAGTTTTTTTTTTATTTGAAGATATTCATTAACCATGATTAAACCTTTTGTGTATCTTAATGTCAGGATATAATCAGAGGCGGAACCAGAGCTTTATTCTAACCATCTCAATTTAAGTCAACCAGCTGTGAGAACTTTTAAGTGCATAAAAGTGCCCCGGAGAGGACTACGAGGCGAGTCCTTGGTGCTCAGACATTTTGAGACTATTAACAGCTATTACGCGATTTGCCTCATTGTAACGCCCAAAATTATTCATTGAAATAATATGAAAAGTAATCAAGGATATTGAGAGCATTAGCCACATGTGTTTTACTTCGTTTAATGGATATTTAATGGGTCTGGGATAAAGTATAAAGGGCACTCACTGCGTCCAACCCCGCTCCCCGTGAGTTTAAGACGACGCGACGCCGTTGTCTGCTGATTATCCGTGGCAGTCTGAACGGATCGTCATTAAGCAACGATCCGTTGCTCGAGCGTTGTGGCGTTGCGTTCTGCATAGAATGTTGTCGGTTGACGACCGTCGCGGCGCAGTGAGTGCCCGGCTTAATATTACTAATGGATTAAAATGTTTTCTTATTTCCCAACCTATAAACCTTTCCGGAATTTCATTCAAACTTAACAACTGACCAATCAGAATAGTTCCATAAATACGCGCATGTCCCACAAACGCACGTATTTGCGTATTTTTTACACTGTAATTTTTGGGACCTTAGCAATATATATATATCTGAAACTGGAGATAAGCTCCAGCCCTATGAGTCCTGTGGTTCGGCAAAGATTTACTTTTTTTGGCAACAATATCCAAAGGGTGGGGCTTAGCGGAGTCCTTTGAAGTGTTCAACTTCAACTTTATTTTCCAATAGTATAAGTAATCTAAAATTCAAATAAATCCATAAACCAATATAGGAAGGAGCTAGAAAAAAAGTGTAAACACTAATCAAGTCCAGCCCCTTTAAACGTAAAACAATTGCATAATTCTATATATAGAGCAAAATTATTACTTTTTCAACTTAACAAATATCAAATATAACATTTCAAAGCAAAAGAATAAAAAAAATTTATCAAAAAATTCATTTCGAAGAAAATATATAGTACATACATGATTACATAAATATACATATAAATAATTTGTAAGTTAATTCTCAGAAGTCGTGCTTACTGAAAGGAGGTCAACAATTATTTTATGCTATTGGGCCTATACACTTGCTGTGAAGTAAATATAAAACATTCATAAAATATGATCATCTGATATTATGTAAAAAAACAAAAACATGAAGAGCATTTAGTTGAACAAACTTTAAAATAGCAAACAAAATGTGCCTGTTGATAATTCAATTGCTTAGAAATATAGAAATATTTTAAAAAATATATTTAGTATTGGACTTATTCTGTGTAAACACCAAGGATAACCAATGAAAGTCTGAAGAAGACTTATTCCCAATGGGGTCATTCTGGTGGTGATTGGGCAGTACACCGGGAGACAATCCCCTCTTTTCCGAAGAGTGTGTACTGCGTTCTTTAACGTGCACATGGGCCATAATGCACACGGGACCAACGGTTACGTCTCATCCGAAAGACTGTGCGCTATCGTAATTTCCATTCAGCCCTCTAGCTGAAATACAAGGAGAGCAGCGATGGGGATTGAACCGGTGACCAAAGATGTCCACGGTTCAGCGCGCACACAATGGCTACCACTAGTTTAGTTAACATAAATAGGCCTACCAGATAAACCAGACCTATAAGTATATCTAGCTCGCTAGAAATGGTACTTAGGTCCACCCCGATAGTAAAACTTATTGATCATGGGTGGGGAGAGGGATATGTATCAGAAGAGTTCCTTCTGCAGCATTTTTGAGGCTGATGTAAAAATAATTTAAGCATGTAGTAACTCTTAATGCATGAATAAATACTCTCAGACTATTTCTTTTTATAAAATTATATAATCTGTTGGTGGGTGGGAGGCAAGTACTGGGAGGATTCACTTTCCCCTTAGCCCAACCATGCACTACTCAACCTTCACCAATTAACAGGTCAACTTCACCGTGCACTAAGGTACCGCTTACGTATACTGTAACTGACACTACATCAGGGTTAGTCAAGTCAAGTCAAAAATAACATTTATTTGCTTCTTTCTCATATTAAAGTCATAAAATCTTTGCAGAAAAATCTACTCTTTATTAAGTTGAACACGTCATGATTAATTTGTCCATGGAGGAAAGAAGCAGACCTCCATGATTTGACATCCAACTTTTATGAAATACTGTACCATTACCTTTGTGTATAATTATGGAGGAATTATAATTAATAAACGTCAGTCTTTGTATCTGATCGTAATCACTCTGTCCGTCAATGTACTGTATTCAATAACGTCTACAACCGGAAGTGCTACGAAGAATAACAAGAGAGCGGAACACTTAATTATGCTCTCAAATAATTAATTTAACCAGAACGTAACATAACGCGTTGTTAAATTAAGTTGTAGGTGTTTATGAAGTCTTCTCGCACCTTAATCAATAATCTGCTAGTACACTTGTTTGTCGTTGTGTAAATCAATAGTTTGGACACCGATGAGATACAAACAACACCATCATTAGGTCAAGATGCCCTGTATGAGCGTTTAGCGGCTTACAATTTTTAAGAAATTACTCATTGGGGAGGTGACACCCCCTCCTAAACCCTCCCCCACTCTGCCCTAAGCATACTGCCCTCTGATAGCCCATACGCGCCAAAGTATAACTCTTGATCTGCATGTCGGAGGCGTTGCCTTGCCGCCGTCTGAGAAATCCAAGTGCCGCCACTGCTTACACTAACGTGAGTAAGGCCGAACCTGTTTATTGCTTACTTTCACATTGGTTAACATAGTATTATCACAGACCCTATATGGTATTATCTATCCTTTGTTTACAATATAGGCCTATTATGAAACATACCCTCTCACGTTTATTGTTATGCTCTGGCCTCAAGTTAGCTTAGTAATGAAATTCGTTATTTACGATTTGATCTGTCATTATAGTTAATTGGCAACTCGTGTAAAAGACTAATTACGGAGAAATTACATTTTGAATTTCAACTTGATTTCCACGAGCAATTGAAATATTTAATCCCGATAATTATGTATACTTTGCTGTAATGTAAAATGTAATAGAGAACAAGCAAATTCTTACATTTTAACCGCTATGTAATACTGTATGTTGAATTAGTTATAGTATTCTTGATTAGACTACAATAGATACACTCTTCTGCAAGCACGGGCACCAGTGATAATATGCCAAACATAACCTACAGTTAGTCCTACGGTGTGCCGAATCGCTGGTCAATTTATTATTACGCATTTAGTTTTCTGGGTCATAAAAAAATATAATAATTGTGAAATAAATAAATAGATAAATTTGACTTCTTTACCAACATCATTATAAATTTTCTAGCCAATAATAATATTTAAATTTAACTATACTGTAAATGGTTTTTCATTTAATTAGAACCAAAGAGTTAATAATAAATATTATTACTAGATAGAATTCTTTCATGATTTGTTTCAATTTAAATTACGTCGTCAACAGCATATTTATTATCAATATGAACTTTCAATAGATCACAATTATAGATTTTGCTACCGGAATGCCTTCATTTTCAGTCAATTAAGCATTAAGAGTGTTTAATTAGTCATACAATTGTTTTGATTATTTAAAATATATTTTACAGAAATGTCAAATGAATGTTACACACGTGGAATCTCGTAAATGTCGGAATGACAACAACAACGTAGAATTTCTTGTGGAATGCGAAACACGAAATGGATGGTATAAAGTTCTTCCGAAGAATCTAAAGAAAGTTGTAAATAACGTCACTATTCACAGGAAAGACACATCGCAACGCCGTAAGTTGCATTTTTTGACAGTTATGAATCCAATATATATATATATACTGTCTCTTATACACATCTTCCTGCCCCTTAAAACGTAAAACAATTGCATAATTCTATATATAGAGCAAAATTATTACTTTTTCAACTTAACAAATATCAAATATAACATTTCAAAGCAAAAGAATAAAAAAATTTATCAAAAAATTCATTTCGAAGAAAATATATAGTACATACATGATTACATAAATATACATATAAATAATTTGTAAGTTAATTCTCAGAAGTCGTGCTTACTGAAAGGAGGTCAACAATTATTTTATGCTATTGGGCCTATACACTTGCTGTGAAGTAAATATAAAACATTCATAAAATATGATCATCTGATATTATGTAAAAAAACAAAAACATGAAGAGCATTTAGTTGAACAAACTTTAAAATAGCAAACAAAATGTGCCTGTTGATAATTCAATTGCTTATATTCTTAAGCCTTTTAAGCTAGTGTTAGCGCTGTGAATTCAGAGCCTGGCCGTCTACAAGCTTCTAAACGTACCGTAACTTGCCTTCAAGTAGGCCTACTAGTGCTTTTCCCGCATTCATATTTCAATAATAAAATAAAAGTTTTCTGCTTTGGAAATACGGTATATTCGAAGATGCATATTTATCCTCAATACGCAGTTATCGAAAGTACAGTACCTCATTAGTTTGTGTTATAGTTTTTAACTCCCGGTGTTTTAACTTTATAAGTCTCCGCTATTAGTTTATATAATCTTTGAATATTCAACAATGACTACGTTAATTGCAGACAATCAGCGGTTTATTGATAAACACGTAATCCCATACACACGCACCGCCCACATACTATCACGTGCTTGTGTAATTCACGTGTTGCATATTAATAATACTATGGTTAATGGTCCTATACATTAAACTTTTTTTAAAGGAAATATATTAAACAAGTTACGCTATCACCATCGTATCTTAAAGTCACGTGATTTGCTTTCTACATTGCCTCCAGGTCATATTTTCATTAAATTTTATGACTTCTACGTCAGTAGCTTGTTCCTATAAACTAATTAGTATTGTTTGTTATCGGATGTAACGCATAATTATCGTCTGCTATCATTCCAGTCCCTTGGTTCCCGCGCAAAACCACTGACCTTGATAAATGTAATCATTTGATGTCACATTTTGAGCCAGATTTAGACCATGATCATCCGGTAAGTTATTTTTTTACGTTAAATTTCCCTTGATAAGTGTTTTGCCTTTGTTTCCTCACGTTTTACTAAGATTTCATATTATGTATTGGACGTTAATTTGAGAAGCTGAAAATGAAATCAACCTGATTATCAATCCAAAATTTTTATCAGTAATATTAATATTATGTGACGATTCACATAGGTGTTAATGAAGTATAATGCATAGCCACTTGGCACCATATTAAATTAATCTGCAACCTGCAAGTTTTGTAAAAAACAATACGCATAATCTTAAACGTGAATACGCCCCGGAACCGAACCTGTTCACAATTTATTTTTACCTTCAATTAATTATTTTGCAGTGTGGTAACTTAACTTTCAACTCATAACCAAGAGGCATTATGGATCGTTAACTTATTTGTCGTAGTTAACGATCTTGACAAACCCACACAATCCTGATAGGAAAAAATACATATTGGCCTGTAATTGTTGTTTTGTGTGTGGTACGTGATGATAATTTTTAAAAAAAACTCCCATAATAAATAAAAGGACATTTTCGTTATCAAGCTATTGAAGGAAGATGTAATTGATTTGGTTTCGTACAATAAGAGCAATAAACTTGATAACTCATAACGGAAATTGCACCAACCACGCATGTTCAAATATCTTAAGTTTTACTTGGACTCATATTTCTACTGTAAACACGACGGTATAGTAGAAAATATTAGCATACATTTGTTCTACTCATCATCTATTCTATATTGGTTTGCTGACTCTGTACGTGAGGGGAACATTGGGAAGGTTTATTACGTTCTCCACAGTAAATAGCATTTTGATTATACGTTTCCTATTGGCTACTCAATTGCACTTCAAAACAATGATCAACCATTATTACATTTGGAATATACTTATTCCATTAATATTACCTCTTTTCATGAATTTTATCCTTAATTATTACTTTTCTTCTGTTGTATGGTCGAATTTTTTTTTTTTTTTTTTGGCCCGGGCATCTCAATTAGGATGACCTTTGCTGTTATTGGTCATTGCTTTTATTCAATTTATAAAAATGTATCTTGATGGATTTTTCTTCGAACGGTGAATAAATTTGAACTTTGAACTTTGTTCATATGTTTTAAGGGTGAGCCAATAAATTATTATTATTACAGGGGGCGTGCTTCACCAAGTTTAAATTTAGAAATACATGGTTGTATTATTGAACTGGTGGGAAACTGAATTTAATTATTCATCTCTTCTGATTGACCATTTAGCTTTTTGAAGAAAGCCGCCGATATATTAAATTGGGAAATACTGTGTCCTTAGATGTTACGATTATATAATAATAATTAGATCGATGCAGCAGAAACAAGATAAGCTTATTATTATTAACATTGAATGTGTTTAGGTTATTGGTATTGTTATGTGAGCGGTAGGTAACGTAGCATTCGATATAATAATTAATTGGTTTGTCATCTTTATAATTATAAAACCACTGTTATGTTTTAATCCTTAATTTCAGGGATTTTCTGACAAAGCTTATCGAGAACGACGAACAAAGATAGCTGACATTGCTTTCAAATACAGACAGTGCGTATGAAAATGTTAAATGTCGTTAATTATTTTGATAGATGCATCGTAATCCAACCAAAGCATATAATTTAAGTAATTTAAGTCTTTACAAGATTTGTTGTATTATATTATTCTTAAAATTTTCAATAACGTGTAATTTATTTTAGTAATTACACTTAGGACTATGTTAAAAATAGACTAGGCCTTATGTTAAATTTGCAAATTCGTAAATTTTACACATGACAAATAAGTAATTACTGCCCCTTAGGCCGGCCCTATAATTAACATGTAAATGTTATTTTTTGTTTACCAGTGGCCAACCAATTCCTCGTGTTGAATATTCTGAAGAAGAGAGGAGTACTTGGTAAGAATCCATATCATCACTATTTACGTTATTAAAAATATATGGTAATATATCTATAAAAAATAAATAAATAAAAATCCTCTCCTCGTACAATCGACACGGCTAAACGGTAACTGCAGTAAATTTATGTTATATGGTACGAACAGCGACACAGAAATTAAATAGATAAATAAGTGAACAATCTTAACAGAATTTAAAACATTCCATAAATGTTAGGTGGAAATCGCATTTGTATCAGTGTTTCAATACAAAACCCTTTCTTTAACGAAAGTTGATGACATAATTAATTTTGATTTATTTGTTTTATACTTTAGGAAACATGTGTACACTACTTTGAGTGACCTTTTTCCGACGCATGCGTGTAAAGAACACATTCGTTATTTCAAAATGCTGGAAAAGGAGGGTGTATATAGGTAAAACATCTTCTACTTAATTTTGATAAACACTTTCAATTAATTACAAAACGAATTATATTTTCTATCACCTTAAACATTAATTTAATAGTCACAATTTGATGAAATTTCTTAATCAAATGATTAACGATTGTTTTTTTTTTTCATTCATTGTTTTTCTTTATAGCCCAGATAGAATCCCACAGTTAGAGGACGTGTCTAACTTTCTCAAATGTAAGTTCCTTACTCAAAACAGTTTAAAAGTAGAGCTGTGATTAATCCGTAAATTAATTATTAAAATTAGGTACCGTATTTATTGAAATAAACGCCCCGAGGCGTTTATTGTTTAGAAGTGGTTTTGAGGGGGAGTTTATTCGAGAGGGTGTTTATTGTGGGGGGGGGGGGGGGGCGTGT